TACTGTAAAATATTCCACGTGCGGAACTGCGCCTTCTAATTAGCAACGAGCGTCGGTGTCAGAAAAGCTGAAGCAACTATCTCAACATGTGATGGTGTAATTGTCGCTGAGCTGGTGTGTCGGAGCGGCCATTTTTGGTATTGTGAGTGCCAGGATGAGCCGCAGCTTATTGGCCGCTTCGGCCCACCCGGAGGGGATCCCGCAGCCAATGAAAGCTGCTTTTTATACAGTCTAACTGAGTGTCTGCCAGGTGCTGATAAGAGGGTTAAAACCAGACTGGCTATCTTGATGAAGATTCTGGTCTACAAAGTAAAACCGAACGTCTATTGATAGGGGGAAGCTTAGGAGATTAAGCATATCTGGCTCTTGCACTGTACTAGTGCAGAGAAATGCGGTGGGGGACTGTCGGAATAAAGCCGTCACTCCAAGGTCAACCCAAAAAGTTTTTCGCCTTGCGTGTGATGGAAGGGGTAAGTCATTGGGCGGAAACAACTGCTGCTAGCAGGGCTGATCTCATCAGTCTTGCATGGTGTTGGAAGAGGCATTGCCATCCGACTCCACGGTTGGTGCTGCTCTACTAGGGATGGTGTAATTTCATTTTTGGGAAGCCATTACAGTAATTCTGTAATTTCACTCGGTTGAACCATTACAATTTCAATTTATCACGTGATTTTAGTGGATACCATAACTGACCAATTATATTATTAATTTCAACTAGTTTAATTAATTAGATTACCAGGATCCTGATCCCTTGGTAGTCTAAGAAAACTAGAGATTTCTTATTATTTTATACTGTAAATATATATATGTGATAGAATAACCCAGCTGTCGGGGCCTTGGGCATCGTAATGACGTATTAGAAGCGATCATGAGAGTCGTGAGGTCATCGATAGTGGTTCTACACCCTCTCGACACCTAAAAGGTGTCGATTCCTCTGCAGGAGACTACTGATCCCTCAAGGATCAGTCTATCCCGTGGATATAGGCTACCTTTGTCATTATTAGACGAATCCATTGCGTTTGGTGGTTAATTCCTTACCTAGTCGACAGGCCTCCTACCCTGACAAGTAGATCCTATCACAATATATATTAATCTTTTAAACACCGAATTCGAAAACACTGCTACATATATAAGAATATATAAATTTTAATAATTTTGCTCAAGATTAGTTTATTTAAACTAATTTTAAAGAGGAAACTAGCATCTATTTAATTTAAAAATATTTTTAAATAAACTAGATCCTGCCTGCCTTACCTGCCTGTGTATATACTTAGTAACTTCTATTATATTATTTAGCCAACTGGTTAATATACCTGCTTACCTACGATTTTAGCTAAATTATGGCGCTAAACCTATACAAATTTAGTGTGATTTAATCCTTACAACAGCCAAACCCATTACATGAAATTTGACCAAAAATTGGGTGTATTACATGAAATTGTAATTACAATCCACCATCCCTACTTGCCACATTACGGTCCCCCTCTTGCAGGTCGCCCCCTCTCGTGGGGCAGCCTCATTTTCCGAGGAAGAAAGAGCACGGACCGCTTTCCAGCCGCAGCTGAGTTACCTTGAGCATGAGGTAGATCTCGCCAGCTCCATGTATGAAGTAGGATTTGGCCAAATCGACGATCCCGGAAAGGATGAGGCCGACCGGCTGGCAATGGAAGCGCTAGGCCCGAAGAAAATGCACCCCTTTCAGGCCCTTCTCTCGCGAGAAAAGGGCTTCGTCCGGAAGAAGTATTTTATTCGAGTGGAAGGAAGAATGAATACAGTCTACAAAGAGAAGGGCACCTCCGCCAGATCGACAAACTCCTGCCGGCAATCCGTACCCGAATGACTGTACAGATCGCTCCCACAGAACCGAGCATTTCTGCTTGCACAACTTCGGACGGGTCACTCTTGGCTGGCAACGTACCGGAAGAAAACATGGTTTCCAGGACGATGACCGGTGTATCTGTGGAGCTCGCGAGACGGTAGTCCCCGTACTGGTGGACTGCCCGAAACTCAGACCGGCGACAACAATTGCGGAGGCAGATTAGAGCTGTGTTGAACAGCATTTCAGGCATGCTAGTAGAGCAACAAGGTAAGGAAGGTAAGGCACAAGACTCTGAACAAGACCACAGGACCGTCAGGGCTGTACTGGACTTTGCAGAAGCGTCCCAGAGGTTTCGAAGCCCTGCTCCACGGGGGCCGCAGAACAGAACACCAGGCAACTAGGCCAATATAGGCCTTGACGAGACACCCAATCAAAGTAATGGTTCAATGTATGTAAGGAATACGTAGGGAGAGGTAGATAAGGTAGTTCTGCATATCGCCTTTATTTACAAGAGGTCAGAGTATGAATACACACCTTGTACACCCAACACTACAGATATAAATAATTATCCATAGTTAACTGCCTCAAAACCGCTCGATAGTGGTAGGGCAGTTCCCGCATAGCCATCGATTATGTTAGGCTGGGATGTACACGTATGAAGACAAAAGCCTAATTACGGACTACTGCAATGATTGACATCGCGGAAATCTCGGTCTTCCAATCATGTGGCAGGTCGGGCAGTGGCTGGCTAGAAACAAGCTGGTACATCCTTGTCGTTCAGCCCCGCTCAATCATCAGGCATGAAAGATAAAATGCATACTTGCCCGTCACTCAAGTTGTGTCACCCACAGCTTATTTCGTTACCCTCAATCAGAACAGCGATCAGAATGATGTCCCGCGGGGAAAAGAGCAGAAAGAAGTGGAGGGATTGCCTGCCGTGGCGTCGACGATCTAACAGAAAAAGCGACAAGCTCACTGCGGACGATCAGTCTAGGACAGGCTCAGAAAGAACCAATGGATACTGTGCCCCTCCCCACTCCTCCACCATAGAGAAAGTGTTCGATCCTTGGCTGGAGGCGCAGCAGCTTCTCAGAAAAGACGAGACCCTGGACAAAATATGGGTGGAGTCAATTCATATTCTCAACTCCAGACTGGGATTGAAGTCCGAAAATGATGGGAACGCCATCCGTGTGAATGATCTCCGCACCTTCCTTAATGTGACGACTGAGCGGCTTGATGACAAAAAATGGACCATCCAAGACAATATCGCCCACGATGACAAGCGGAGAAAATTGACCAAGGTGTGTCAGAATATTCTTTGCGTCAAGGACATTGTCAATGCGGCTGCAGCCGCCAGTCCTCCCGCTGCCATAGCATGTGCCGGTGTTACGGCCGGACTCTTGGTTAGTCCCTCTATCCATATTCTGTCAGCTCTGCTAACTTTCCAGCAGCTATTTATACAGGCTATGGAACAACATGAGAGCGTTCTACGGGGCTTAGACTCTATCTCCTCCTTGTTACCACGACTCCAAGTGATCGAACAACATTTCCTGCCCCGTCAGACTGGCCTAGGTGTCGAACTGAGAAGATCACTCGAGAGTGACATGAGAAATCTATGTGCCAAAGTCCTTGAATTTCAGTCTCGGGCTGTTTGCTATCTTGGTAAACCAACAGCAAGACAGCTTCTGAAATCCTTGTCAAAGCACGACGGGTGGGACGGAATACTTGGAGATATCGAACAATACGACACTCGTGTTAAGGACATCATTTCCTCGGCGCGTGTCTTAGAGATCGATAGCCAATTGAACGCTCTCCAGGACAAGCTACAACAGATACAGGTATGGCAAACTGTGTCTGAGAAGGATAAAAAGCGAGTCAATCTCTTCCAGCAGTTGTATACCTGCCCATACAAGGATCGCAAAGATATAAATGGCAAGCGTGTGCCAGGAACTTGTGAATGGTTCACGAATCATCCTCAGTTCACCAGGTGGAATGAAAATGTGAATTCTGGACTTCTCTGGGTGTCTGCAGAGCCAGGCTGCGGGAAGTCAGTCCTCACGAGATACTTGGCTGACGAATATTTGCCTAGCGGAACAAGAACCATCTGTTACTTCTTCTTCAAAGACGGTTATCAAGATCAAACGTGAGCCATAAATGCACTTGCTTCCATTCTCCGCCAACTCTTACTCGCCCAACCACATCTTGTCCAAGATTCGCTCTTGGATAAGTCAGAGACCAGCGGGAAGCAGCTCGTCGAATCCTTCAATGAACTGTGGAATATGTTTCTCTACGTGACTGCAGATGTTAACGCCGGCGAAGTAATCATCCTGCTCGATGCCATGGACGAGTGCTTTGAAGATGACCGGACAACTCTGATTCAAGCGATAGAGCGCCTATTCCTTAACAACCCTGGCAAGTGCAACCTAAAATTTCTGATGACAAGTCGCCCATATGAACAAATCCGGCTCGATTTCTTCAAGCTGGAGAAATCTCTACCTACAATTCGTTTGAGCGGCGAGAATGAGGAGAACATTGAGAAGATCTCTAGTGAGATTGACTTGGTCATTACAGAAAGGGTTCGAGACTTAGGCAACAAATTTGACCTGACAGAAAATGAGCGCGATTCCATCATCGAGCAGCTCACCTCGGTTAATAATCGGACATATTTATGGGTCAGTCTTACGTTCAATGTCCTAGAAAGAATGCCAGGACTCACTGAAGGGGATGTGGACCACGTGGTCCATGATATTCCCAAAGATATCGATGCTGCTTACACCAAGATGTTGGATCGAAGTTCAGATCATGGCGCGGCCAGAAAGTTGCTCCATATTGTAACTGCAGCGGAGCGTCCATTGACATTGGAAGAGATAACCTTGTCTTTGGCAGTCAAGACAGCAGAGCAATCGATCGACGACATCAAAAAGGAAATACCGGCTAATGAAGACACCGAGACGACCTTGACAAGACAAAAGACCAGGATCAGAGAACTGTGCGGCCTGTTCTTGGTTGTGATAGATCAGAAGGTATATCTTTTCCATCAGACCGCAAGGGAGTTCTTAATTCAGAAACCGGCCGGTGGTGATACTGGGGCAGGTAGTTGGAAGCACAGCCTGTCTCCAGAAAAATCGCACTATGTCCTGGCGGAGATATGCACACTGTACTTGAGCCGAATGTATGATACCCTCCCTGGGCTTATGGACTATGCAGCACAATTCTGGGCGGTTCACTTTCAGAGAGCTGCTGTCTCAAGAGAAGATCCAATCGCGAAACGTGGACGCATGCTTTGTCGACAAGGGTCAGTAGTATGTAAGAAGTGGGCTGCAATTTACAAACGCACCAGATACGAGTTTCCCGATTCCAATGACACACTTATGGCGTCCTATCTAGGGCTCACAGCTATTGTCGAGACACTTCTTGATACTGGAAGGATAGATGTGGAGTCTAAGGACTCAGAGTATGGTCAAACTCCTCTCTCCTGGGCCGCACGGAATGGCCATGAGGGGGTTATCCAGCTACTTCTTGAC